GGTGCGTTGGGGGTCCCCCGTCTCCTGCACCCCGAAATGGCACAAACAGACTGCACCAGCCGGTGGAATAGAGGAAGTTTATTGCCTCTCCAGGATACAGCACAGCACAGATGTAGTCTGGTCACAGAGCTGGGCTAGGATGCCTCAGGTCCCCTTGAGATGGGGGAGACTGGGCCCCTAAACTCCAGCCCCTTTCCCTAGGCTGTCTCCTCCATGCTCTCAGCCAGCCACCAACTAACTCTCTTCCAGCCCTGCCCCCCCAGCCAGGGCAGCATTCCACCTTCCTTTGTTCCTCTCCATGGGGGGTGTCTGGCCATACCGGTTTGCATAGTGACTCATCCTGTTTTGCTGGGTCGTGGTACCCGGTGGGTCGTGGCCCCCCCGCCAGCCAGTGGGGGTTACCCCAGAGCCAGCAGCATAGAAACCAGCCAGGTACCCCCACTACGTCACAAAGGGATATACACAATACAGTTGATCTGTGGAACTCCTTGCCACATGATGTGAAGGCCAGGACATTAACAGGGTTCAAAAAATAGTTAGATAAGTTCCTGGGTAACAGGTCTATCAGTGGCTATTAACCAGAATGGGCAGAAATGGTGTCCCAAGCCTCTGTTTGTCAGAAGCTGGGAATGGGCAACAGGGGATGGATCACCTGATGATTCCCTGTTCTGTTCATTCTCTCTGGAGCACCAATTAGCCACTGTCAGAAGACAGGACACTGGGCTAGATGGGTCTTTGGTCTGACCCAGTATGGCCGTTCTTAGGTTTTTATATTATGTAACAGTATTTACATACTACAGAATACAAACCAAAGAAGGGAAATGGGACTGATCACTGCAGCGTGCACTGTGAGGAGCAGTCCAGCCCTACCCCGGCCTGCCCCTGCTCCTGTCCAGGCAAGAATGGACCCAGCAGACTTTTCTGTTTCAGACTCTGGATTCGCTAACAGTCCTGGCCAAGCGGGCACGGGGAGAATGACAGGCGTCTCTCCGGGCCTCTCCCATTCAGGACTCCTCCCAGCTGCATGTGAATCAGCTAAACTAGAATTACAGGTTTGAGAGAGGCAAACAGAGTGAGGAGGAAGGGAAGCCTGGGACTAGGAGACACAGCGGCAGCGTGGGGCTATACCCAGCAAGTCCCCATGGAGAACACGGAGGCAGCCGAGGTGGATATTGACACACTCATTGATGAGATGGACTATATCCCTGGTCACTTCCACCTGGAGATGAACCTGAATTTCGAGCCTCGTTCCCCAGTGAATTTCAGAGGCAGGGACATGAAGCTTAAGCGAGACAGCCTGATGTATGAACTAGAACTCGAGTCTGGCCCCCAGCAATTCGCCATCAGGAACCTGCTCGGGGTCTTCTCCTTCCACCTGGAGGAGCTAGAGCAAGCCAAGGAGATCTTCCTGAGTATCTCCCAGGAGGCCCCTGACAACCTCAATGCCTGGGCCAACCTGGCCTGTGTGTACGACCGGCTGGACAGCGAACAGGAAGAGGCCGACTGCACCAAGAGACTAGCCCATTTAATGGGCCTGGGTTCAGAAGAGGAGTCCCAGGGGGATGCCAGGCTCCGAGCAGCCCGCTGCCTTGCAGAGCAGGGCTACGCTTACGTCTTCGACATTGGCCTCCTGGAGGAGGAAGACCGAATGGAGAAACTGACCGCCGGCCTCACGCTCTATGACAAGGCTCTTGCTTATGCGCAGCAGGTCAGTCCCGGCTCCTACCTGTGCACTGGCTGCTGTTTGGTGTCACGGGCGCGCTTCCCACGTGTCTCTGTAGGGCTTCTACCCTTGGAGCAGAGCAGCTCCCTCGCGGGTTCATTAAGCAGCAGGAAGCTAGAGCAGGAACTAATTTCCCAGCTAATAGCTGAGCTCGGGTATGACAGCACAGACAAGCAAGAGCCCGAGGGAGCAGAGTCCTGCCAGAGTCCTGGGAATGGCTCCTGTCTTTGTGTTCCACCCACCTTCGTGTTGTGTCACTTCAAACTGTTGATCCTGTAGATCATCCCCCAGAAAGGCAACTCGATTCTGTAGCTGGATGCAATGGCGTGGGAACTTTTTAAGAGTAGGGGTCCAGACAATCCCCCCTTACCCTGTCGTTCTCCCTCCCCCAGGTGAAGCCAGGACCAAATCCCTGGCATGCAGGGCAGCGGCTGAGACCTAGGGCACAGGGCTGGCAGCAGAGTCCCCCAGCATGCAGAGCTGGGGGCAGAGCCCTGGGTTCTGGGTGTGGGGCTGGCAGCAGAGCCCACAGCATGTGTGGAGGCAGCCAGAACCCAGGGCGCTAGGTCGAGAGCCCAAGTTCTCGCTCCTATGGCTGGATTCGGATGGTGGAAAGTGCATTTTCAATTATTCTGGCCTTACAAGAGCAGGATCAATGGTGCTTTGCACTTCCAGTCTTATCTTCTCTAGCTGTTCAAACAAAGGCACGCCCTTGTGCACACGCAGCATGTGGCTGCCCTTGGAGAGCTCCTCAAAGGCTGGTGTCTGGTATGCTCACTTCAGCTGTATTCTGGGTCGAGAGGTGGCTTTGTTTATCGCTAGCATAAGAACCGCGCGGTGTGCAGCCTCTAAGGCATCAGAGTAGCTCACATGCTGAATTTGCTTCAAGACGCTGTGTTCCATTGGCAAAGCTGCAGAAAATGTCCTTCCCTAAGCCATTCAGCTCAAGGCTTTGTGTCAAGTGCAAGGACTTCTCCCAGGTGTGTTTGTAAAGGGCTTTGAGTGCTTCCGCTAGAAGGTGCTCTCCAGATGCTCAGGAGTGCTAGCCCTCAGTTCATTCCTTTAAATTCTTGACAGCAAACATGTATTATCTGGAATTGTGGTGAGTGAGGTAATAACTTGTCTGGGGCCAGCTTCTGTTGTGAAAGAGAAAAGCTTTTGAACTTGCACATAGTTCTTCTTCAGATGTGTGTAAGCTTGAAAGCTTGTTTCTTTCACCTAGAGAAGTTGGCCCAATAAAAGAGATTGGCTCGCCCATCTTGTCTCTCTAATATCCTGGAACTAACATGGCTACACCACCACTGAAAAGCACCCCAAACATTCAAAAATCATAAGGCAGGCCCAGAAAATCCTGAGATCTGTTTAGCAAATCATGTGATGATTACAGCTCATTGCTCTGGGATTCCTTTTCTTTGCCTTGGGTTTCCTAAGCCTTCAGGCTGCACTCCGGGGCCATTTTCAACCTTTTCTCTGCAACCCTGAGGGCTAGAAACTCGCTTTACCTGTTAAATGCAAGTTGAGATTCTCGTAGAATCACATCGCGCCAGAAGCTAAGACTTTAAAAAAAATAATCACAAGAGTTAGCAACATTGCAGTGAAGGTCCAGCTAGAAAGCTCCAAGATAGAGAAACAGATGAAAATGTCTAGCAAGGGACTGTACACCATGCCATTCTCTAGGCCTCCACTTGTAGGGTGCGCTGTTGTTTCAGGAAGATGAAAGCTAGCAGAACGTTTGGTTGAAGGTTTGTTTTTCATTTTGATTAGGTGGGCGCCAGGCTTTCACAGGCTATCACCAGGATGACCAGCCTCCCCAGTAACCACTTAACTTGTCTTCCCAGGTAGAGAAGATCAGCAGTGCCACAGGGCAGGCAGGATGTGTGGCTAGAAACAGGCCTTCTGCAGTGGAGATGAGAGGAGCCTGCAAAGAATCACAGGGGAGGCTTTAGATAGGAAGCCCTGGAACCTGCTGCTGCTAGATGGAGCACAGGGAAGCACGGAAAAGCAGTGTGAGCAGCTCAGAGACTCTCCTTAGGGCCCAGGCAGAGGGCAGGCAGTGCAAGCTAGCAGGAAGCCGCAGCCAGTCAGGAGGGTGGCTGGAGAGGGAGTCTCCCAGACAAAAGGCTCAGGAGAGGCTAGCATAGGACCCCTGCTTGAACCAAGGGTTGGGAGCCTTCTAGGAAGGCTGGGGGAAATCTTGGGTATCCAGACTCTGAGAAGGGTGGTAACAGCACACACGAAAGCCTATGCTGGAGTTACAAAGGGCCTGAGAAGGGGAAACTGAGGCAGCAGCTAGCCTGAAGCCAGAGTGGACAGGCAGTGCTACTGGAGGGAATCAGAGGCTCTTTAAAATTCTGCAAGCTGGCCTAACACTTTGCACAGTCCCAGTTCTGCACAAAGGAGGGGGTTAGTGAGGCAGGACTGCTCGGTGTGACTATGATGACAGGCTGACTCTTAGGTCTGCCTGTGCTGCTGTTGTAGGCCAGGGACTCACGGACAGTACAGTTATCCCCACATCCAGGGACATCACAACTAAACACTGCAGAGTAGACAGGAGCTGTCTGGCTCTCCGAAGCCATGTGTAACATCATCAAACACCGACTGGGGTTATGCTGCACCCATGAAAGCCTTGGGCTTGCTGGGCAGGTGTCTGACCCACATACATGGGACAGACCTGTCTTCATTACAGCTCTTAGCCCTGTTTTCCTGAGGCCCTTGACAGTGTAGACATGCCATAGCGATGTTCCTTGTGACAAGACCGAAAGACACCCGATAAACAACCCTTGGCTCCTCCACGGAGCAGGCCCAGACACTGTCAAAAAACCATCAGATGGTAGCACTTTTCAGACACTCTTGTCTCGGGTCAGTGATAGATATGAAAGGTTCCAGCCCATCACCAAAACCCCAGGCCGATTCCGGGGATGCTCTTTTAGCCCACAGGGTATTTCTCTAGGGTCAGTCAAGCAGGGGTGAATTCATACCCAGCCACCTTGTTAGAGACGTCGCTCTAGCCTGGAGATCTGGTCCAGTGAGTAGCACGTGGGCCTTGATCTCAGCTGTGGCCAAAGTAGCTGGGACCCAGCTGGTGGGTTTGTATTGGGATGGGAAGCTAAATGGTCCCCACATTCAGCGGCTTTTAAACTACACTAGCAACCTCCGTCACATTAATGACGGTTGGAAAATCCATGCTCCTGCGCGATGCGGACCGGTTACGCCAACCGAACTCCCGGGGGAGCCAGTGCTAATAATGTCCACAGCAGAGCTGCTTCTGCCAAAATAGCGACCACCTCTGAGCCATAGAAATGGCTCTCAGGTTCCCAGCACGGGCTGGTTATGCAACGGGCCGTGTTCCGCTGCCTCCTCTTCCCGAATGGTGATTCCAGCCGCCGGAGCAGCTGCAAGCTGCGATCCGCATGGAAGCACTCCAAATGCTGCACCTTCTCTGCAATACGACCAACCCCAAGTGCTCAGTGAACATGACAGCAGCCTGGCTCGTGTGAGCTCTGATTTAACCCCACCACGAACACCTTCGTCCTGTCAGAACATGGTCTGGCCGCAGAACCCGTGATGGATCACAGTGGTCAATGCTGGTTGACAGGCTGCACAGATGTGCTTTGGTCTCCCCTATGCTAGGCTGCTGGAGTGTGTCCGACTCCACTCCACAGTGTATTGGCTGAGGACACACCTGACTGGGTGAAAAATGTAGCTTGGCCTTGCCTCTGTGGATGGTAGAGCCCGAAACTCTGCTTAGTAACATGGTCCTTAACGAGGTTTGGTCCCATCCAAAAATGCAGGAACTGGTGGAGGGCGGGGGTGCTATAGCACCCCCTGATTTGAAGTGTTTTCCATTCTACACAGGATTTACGGTGTGGTTCAACGGCTCACAGCACTACCACCCCATGATAAAACTTATTCCAGCCCTCTGGTCCCATCCACACAGACCAGACCAAACCATGCTCTAGAATGAGTGGGGCACTAGTGTGTTATAACACAGCAACATGTGAGGTGTAGAGGGAGCCTCGCCGGTGCCAAGTCTGCAGCCGGGCAGAGTGAAGTAGCAATTCTCAGATAGGTGTGAGCTTTCTCCCAGCTCAGTGATTCCACTAACATTATTGTCTTGTTCAAAAGCTTCAGGGAGTAGCCGAGTTAGTCCGTACAGGATAAACTTAAAAAACAACAGATAGTCTGGTAGCACTTTATCGACTAACAAAACATGTAGATGGTATCATGAGCTTTCGTGGGCACAGCCCACTTCTTCAGATGAATGAAGTTATTATTGTCTTCAGGGCTGGCCCTACCATGAGGCCGCCTCAGGTGCCAGACTGGGTATGGGGGGAGAGGGGGCACCATTAGGACCCAGAGTGTAGAAAATTTGTCTGCTGCTGGTGCATATGTAGGTAGCAGAGCAGTACCATGAGAGGAGCAGAACAGGAAGAAGACAGAATTGAGACCTTTCAAAGTTTGGGCCCAAGCGAGGGGGCATGGAGGCGTCAATTGAGCTCCCCGCCTCAAGTGCCAAAATGTTGTGGGCCAATCCTGATTGTCTAGTAAACACAAAGGCTGCGTCTACACTGGCAAGATTTTGCGCAAAAGCACTTGCCGCCTGTCTACAATGGTCGTGAGTATTTGTGCAAGAGCACTGACTTTGTACTGTACAAAATCAATGGTTCTTGCACAAATACTCCAATGCTCCTGCTCAGGGATAAGCCCTTTTGTGCAAGTATTCTAGATGCAGCCTAAGGGCCAGACTCTCCTCTGATGTCAAGCAACATCCTTCCATTGATTTCAGGACAGTGATGCCACCAGCCATCACCTGCAGACACTGGCACTGCTGATCCTTTTATCCAAACCATGTGGTTTATGTACCTGTCCCTGCCAGCCACTCTGTTAACTGGGCAAGAGCATTGCCTAGAAGAAAGGGTGTGAATATGCAAAACAACTGACTTCTCTCAGCTAATCTATGGATTACTCAAACCATTCCCTTGTGGGCCACCAGCCTTAGCAATTAGGAGGGGAGGGGTATTTACAATGTTGACAGCTGCAAAAATGTTGGAGCCGTAGAATTCTGAGGGGCTCTTCGTAAATCTAGTCCAGCAGCATTCACTGCAATAATGTAAGGCAGATCTTATCTGCTGGAGGGCTAAGTGGAATTGTATTGAGAAACTAAAGCCTTGCAGCCTTGGGGAAAATGCCTGTGGGTACTTTGCTGTTTTTTGTAAACTGCCTACAGGTGTTTCCCCCCCCACCCCCACCCCCACCCCAGGGAGCGGCCCCAACGGAATATCTCTGACAGAGTGGGGAAAGGCACAGGTTTCCATTTAAAAACAAGGGATTTGAATGGCAAATCTGATTCCCCGGCTGGAGAGCTTGGCAAAAGCTGAGATATGACTTTATGCCCCAGCCCTGCACTAGGTGGTGGAGACATCGGATTCAATGGGAGCGCCAAGAGCCATTGTTCAGGCAAGGTCGCTGCCTCCCAGAGATCCGGGTCAGCACAGGCCTCGCTCTGTTACAGGATGTGCTGTCTGCTCTGCTGCACAAGGGAGTGGAGACCTGCCCCTCTGGAGCCAGGAGAGCCAGTCTTGTGCAGGCTGTGTGTTCTGCACAGCGCTGGGTGTAAGTCTGTCTCGGCTTCCCCCACAGAGGCTGGGCTTAGCTCAAGTTTGTAGCTGCGTCTGCTTTTGAACTCTGGAGATCCCTGTTCAGTTCCGGGGGCATTGGTCCAGACGGTGGGTATCAAACTTACACTTTGGAGAGCACAATGGGGCAGGCATTGTTGCTCTCCCACCGAAAGCCAGGCACAACCTGGCACCAGAGAAGGTAGCCAGACATGGTAGGAGTGACAAGTGATTCTGGGTAAGCCGGTCAGACGTCCCCCTGTGGAACGCTTATCTGAGAATGCCAACTGGTCAACATGGAAACGTTTCCCGGCGATGGCTCCCTCTTCACTGAGATCTGGTGGGTCCCAGCCATGCAGCTTTAGATTTCCTGCCAGCTCACCCATGCAGCCTTCTGCAGCCCACCAGGGAGGCCTGGGTTTGCAGGCTCAACTAAGCTCTCAGGCAGCCTTCCTGGTGAAGAGTCTGGGAACTGTGATTCACAAGCTGTGTTCAGCTGGGGCTCCCGAACTTACATCTCCAGGTGGGCTGCCCAAGAGCCAGGAGCTTCAAACCACCAGCTCAAGGCTCCTCAGCAGCCAGAACTTCCAGAGTCCTTGGCTCGTAGCCTGCCCACTGGATAGAAAGCCCCCCCCCCCCCCCCCTGCATTCTGGTCTTTCTCTTGGAGATTTTCAAATATGATGGGTTTTGTTCCAAAATGAAACATCTGAGTCCTCTATGGAACAGAGCACCCTTTCTCTGCACCGTTCTAATTTGGAGACACCCAACTTGAGCCACTTTCAATGGGCGTCTCTTCCTGAGGGCTGAGTGCTAAGCACTTTCTGCAGGCATGTCTCTTTAGGCATGTCTCAAGCTGGGCATCCAAAAAAGTAAGGCATCAAAACGCCGTGTCTGATTCCTCTCTCATTTAGTGCTGGCTGCTTCCTTCTACATCATGATCTTGCCCTGCTGTTGAAGGTGCGGGTTTATTTTATTCATGTGCACAGATAAAAAAATGAAATCCCGCAAGGAACTTAAACCAAATACCTTCTAAACAATCCAGCCCTGCTTTCCAAGCCCATTAACCTGCAAAGTCTGCTCCGCCGCCAGGTCCAAAGGGAATAGCAATTAGCACTTTGCCTACAACCCATTACAGTTAAATGCAAACAGAGCCACCAGATGGGAATATAGATCACAAAGTTGGTTCATTTTCAACAGATCATGGGCAACGTCCCAGCAGCGGTGCTTGGTTCAGCTTCAGCCAGGCAGGAGGAATAGCCTTTGCAATTGTTTTCATTTCTTCTAATGAGCTAGGAGTGCAGGTTCCCTCCCTCCAGTAATCGGTCACTTTCAGCCACAGAGAAACACCACATGCTTCTCAGATCTTCACAGGTGCTGAGTAGCCACAAGTCCCAGGGAAATCAAGGAAGTTACAGGTGCTGAGCACCACTTCCAGGCAGGCTGCGTGGATTTGCCTCTACGTTGGCATCAGCGGGGGCTGAAGGAGGAGTGCTGCAGAAACCACCTCTGTGAATGAAAGGCAGCCACCTCTGGGGGGAAGCGGTAGCAGCCAGGTAGGTGGCTGGAATAGGGCATGTTGCACAACAGCTGGGGTGGGGAATGCTGGTCTATGGCCATCCACAGGGCAAACTTCTGTTGTTACAAGCCCGTGCCAAGAGATGTTTACATTCAGGTCAGCTCTACTAGGGTCTGTCTATCCTGCATGCTAAGCTGGAGCTCCGACTCAGGTTTCAGCCAAACCCCAATTCTCTCCACACGCACATCTGTCGGACTCAGGGCAGCAAGCTCCCAGGTCGTAGGACCTTCTTGGTGGAGTAGGTCAGGGCTTGAATCCCACTGTGACTGGAGTCTGAGCTCTGTTATTTTGCAGCGTGGCTGCAGGTCAGGCGGCGGACTCACATCAGTAGGTCTGTGCAGTGCAGCAGGGATGCGTTAGCACAGCTGTGAGAGCTGGGTCCAGCAATTGTAAGCTCAGGTTTATAATGCAGCATGGACCTCATGCATGGCCTTGGAAACGCCAAGACCACAAGCCCGGGTCCCATAGACCCAGGTGTACAAGGCAGTGTGGACGTACCCCAAGCACCAGTCGCACCCAGGGGGAAAAGCATTGTGCTGTAGGAAGATATAACGCTCCCTGGAGCTTCCCAGTGCACAAGCCGAGCACATCTGCTACACCACCTCTTAGCAGAGCGGGCTGGCTGCAGAGGGTGGCAGCGGCAAGGCCTCACCTGCCCACTGCCACCATCTCCTCTCAGGAGCCCCAGGGACATCTCTGGACTCAAGAGATGACAGTGGTGCTGTCGGAACCTGCAGTGGTGCTGTGGGGAAAGGGCTCTGCCCTGGCACACCAGCCCTAGGGCCAGGCACTACCTGCCCCAGGCTGCCCGTACACAATGCTCACGGCCTTGATTTCTAAGGATCCTGCCAAAGGGAACTGCCTAGCAGTCAGCGCCTTGGCCTCAGCAGGTGCAGGGGGTCAACGTAGGCAGGGTGGGAGGCTGCAGAATCTCCTGGCTCTTATCCCTGTTTGTCCTTTCCTCACACACCAACAAAAAGGCAGCCTGGTAACTTTTGCAGCACCCCTGCACATGAGTGTAAGCCTGCACAGTGCAGTGCCCCTGTGCTCTGATTGTGTCCACACCCTCTTTTCACTGGTGTAAATACCACTCAAGGTGCAAGGCTCTGGCACATTATAACTGCAGTGCCCAGCACCGTGGTGAATAAGTCCCTGTGAGCAGAGCAAGGAGACACACAAGGCCCATGCGAGAGCTGCGAACAGAACTCCAAACTATCCCGACTTCCCCCCTCTATCCGCACTTCATCCCTTCCACAACGCGAGTGGGGACAGATCAGCCCACTTCCCGCCCCCTGCGCTCCTGCAGGGGGTAGCAACGATACTGATGTGTGAACCCTCACTAATCCCTCAACGCCTCCCTCTCTGAACCCTCAGCTCAGGGCAGGGAGGCGACGCTTTGTTTGTCTGATGCCACTGGCTGGCCGGG